AAATTGGAGGCCACCAAGCTATTGCATTACGTGATTTTAAAAGTGCCATAGTATGTTTCTTGCTAGTAAGTGAAAAGCACCGATCCAACTATTAGAAACTTGCTAACCCAACTTTCGAATCTTAATTTTAAGACAAAAAAATTAATTATTTCAAATTATTTTAAAAAATTATTATATATACTCAGAAGACTTATTTTTTTCGTATTGAAGGCACCACAGATTCATCAGTAGGTGCACAGGATAAAAATACTATTTCAATGAAGAACATTTTAGATAAAGTCACAGAGTTGACTAGCAAATGGGAGCAAAACATTTATATTAATTATGATGAATTTGATCAATTGACTGAGCATGATTTTTTTATAGAGTGGACTCGTAAAACTCAAGATCAATATCATGGCTAGCGGAGTATTAATGCTCCATGCTAGTCAACGCCTAAACTCCAAGAAGCCCGACTTCTAATGCTCTAAGAAGATTGCATGCTGGCGCCACACAAAGTTATACAAAGTCTACATGTGAAGGCTTGTCCACATGTAAAACCAAGCCAGCTGACTATGCATTCAAATAGAGAACAACAAACATGTATCCATCATTTGATCTATATTTGAGTGCTCCTGAGAATGGTCATATGGACTAATGAATTCAGTGCATGCCTGCACTTACACCACAATAAATGTGTTATCCTTTTAAGAGGTCACAACATGCATGCCGTCAGCTTCAGTCTATGACGATAAATTTTCATTCCAATTACAAACTTTGGTTATCACAACACCAGGTGATAAAGAAAACACTTCTAAAATAATATCAATTATGAAAATGATTGTTATAAGCACCTAGTAAATATACACATGGAACAAATGCTATCCAATAACGTTGAAAGAAAACTTGGCGGTATGCAATTTCAACAACTTCATTTAATATACCCTACTAGATATTTATCATCAAATACAACAATAAAGATATGCATTTATTTCTAACTTGAATTAGGTTAAAATATATAATGCGTTGAGTTGGATGACAATCAAGCATTTTATAAGATGAAGTTTAATATAACACATTTTAACAACAAAAATTTTTAACTTGCAAAATTTCACTTATAAAAAAGGTATGGATGGCTTCAACTTTTTGAACTTCAAGCAGAATGAATAAAACTACTAAAACATGCAATTTAACATCACAAGTAATGGCTGGCTGCAGTAACAAAAAAATTAGTTAAAAATTATCCGATCCTTTCATGAAAATACATGTATTGTCAAATGAAGTACATTGTTGTTGCAAACAACATTGGACAAGAAAAAAAGATAAACCATTCTGGAGATTATATGCGTTGGTTATGAAAATCTGCAGTGATATTAGAGGTGAATTTCTTAGTGGATATGAGAGAAATTAGTGAAACGTTTTTTAAGAAATAACACATTTTATCAAACTGCATTACGTTTAAATGAGGTAACATAAATTTTTATATTACAAACTAGGAACAGAAAGCAGTGCTGAAACTGAAGATGACTTAGGTTTAAATGAGATATTGTATAAAGAGCAGAGTATTGCAGAAAACAATGCATTAATGAGTTGGTATGAAGAGTTTTTGATTATGCGCCACTTCAAATGGTAAGAAAAATAAATTATCCAGAATATATTGGCAACAAATACTACAATTATTCAAATATTATTTTAAATGTAGCACCACAAAAATTCAATCATAATCTCACATGCATGAGTTGATTAGCAATTGATAGATTTAAATCGTACAATAAAGGAAAACATTCACAGACGGTACTTAAATAGCGCAGAGATGTTAAGTATGATACAACTGCTTCATTTATTGGAGTCTATTATCCTATTCTTTTACTAATAAAATACTTTATTTAGGAGATAATAAAGTGAATGAATCTTTTAATTTTTTGTTGCTCAATTTATTTGTCCATTAACTTTGCGAGAATTAAAAGAGCTTATTTTAAAAAAAGTTCAATAATCATAATCTTTATGATTGAATTTCCGCACCGCAACAACTTCTATAAAGCAAAGAAATAATTACTCTTAATAGTTCCATAAAAATATTGTTATTTATTTTTTCTATTTATCTGTACAATCCACACACTCTGATCATTTGGCTGATTAAACGAGTCAAAGAAAATAATTGATTTCATTTAAAACTATTAAAGTAAAGAAATCAAGATCAATTTAAACTATTAAAATCTACATGATCATATAATCCCTACACCAAAACAAAATAAATATTGCATAAAGAAATTTCAATTAAAGAAATTACATATCTCATTATAATTTATAAAACACAATGATAAACAAAATATATTTAATATTTTTTTATTTCAAGAAAGTTCAAATTTTTAAGAGAAAAATTAAAAGAAATTTAATTTTAAAATAAAATAAGTAATTAAAAAAAACTAAAAATGTTATAAAACAATTAACAAGTTGAAATTAAACTAGAGTAAGAGATCATTATTAGTCTTAATGTTTAAAAAACTATTTCAAAAACAAAAAATAAAAATTTTAAAAATAAATAAAAAATCAATGGATTTGGAATTCGCATTGGAAACACCTAAGGATTGGGTGATTTAAGAGAACGCCCAACTATTGGGCATTTTCACTCATGAAATTAGAAATTTAAATGACATTTTGCTCATTTAAAAAAAAAATTTACCACACTCATATTGCTTAACTTAAACTTACACATGCTTCTATATTTAAAATTTTGGCCGATGGGACTTTTTCTGGCTCCCACATAATTTCAGAACATGGTAAAATGTGGGATGGGTATAAAACTGGCATTGATAAGTATGTGAATTATAAGAACTATGATATAAAATTTGAAATAAAAAAATATGAACTAGTTGATTAAAAATAAAATTAATAAATTTATTATAATTAATATTCATGGTATAATAAGGCAAATAAAAAAGTAATTTTATATTAATATGGGAGGGTAATAGGTAAAATATGCATATTTTACATATGAAGATAAAGATTTTGAGTACTTTCAACAAATAAAAAAAAATGGGAAAAAAATTTATTTTTTTGTTCTCAATAATTCATATACATATGTATTATGTGAAACAGTAAAAAAAGCTCAAGACAAATAAATTTAACAAATTATAAAACTATGTCAAAAGTTATTTATTTCCAATGGCGTCGCTTCTAAAGAAAATCGTTTGGGTTCATTGTTTTTGAAATAGCCATCATTTGATCATCAAGCATTTGATTTCATTGTATTCTATGGGCATAATACACGAATCAACAAACTAAGCTAAAAATAAATAAATTTGATGAATTATAAATCTATTTCAAAGGCTCCACTGGTGTGTCATCTAAAAATTCTTTTAGCTTCAATGTTTTTAAAATAGTAATATCTAAAATTTGATCACTGAGCATTTGCCCAAGTGGCATTGGACCACCCATCTCACAAATTGTCTCCTGAATTCAACTCTATGTTGAGTAGTTGGAAAAAGAGCCATTATTTGGAAATAATAAACAGCTGGATCTTGGCATCATTCATGAATCCATGTATGCCATCTACATATCGATGGTATAGAGATACATAACATTAAGTGTAACACTATAACTACAAAGGAACATGCATCCATATTATTGTCTGGTAACAAACATAATGAACACCATAACTAAGATAGATCAACACTTAAATAGGATCATCTTCATCCATTTTATTTGGTGGCATGTGAATTAAGGTTTTAAGAAGTTTTTATTGGTACATATGTTAGTTTTTTAGCTTCATGTCATGATTCCTAATGCACCTCATTGAAATCCAAATGAACTAGGGCTGACCAAAGAAGCAACCAATGCTTTGCACTAGTTATTATTAAGCTGAACAAAAAGAATTTGGGGCATTAACTTACATACCTCACACAGTTTATGTCTTTACATATCTATCACTTATATTTTCATATTTACATACATAACACTCAACTCTTCAATATCATTTTAAAAATATCATTATTGTCAACTTTTTCTAAGTGAAATACAACTTTTCAAGCAGAGGACTATGACACCAAAGTGTAATAAATATAAATTAGATATGTAAATACATAAGAATTGCGTGTTAGATACTAACATCTCGCAAGCTAATTACATGCAGAGTTTACTTATGGTTCACAATGCTTCGGGTTACAGTATCCTGGTAAACAGCCAGACTAGCTACTTTGGCTAAGCTATGTTCACCTTCCATAGCATGAATCAAGGAAGTGCAAGTAACCTGACCCCATATCAAATCAGGTTATGCTCAAATCAAATCAAACAAGGAAATATAATATTCACGGTAGAAGACATCCATAAATCTCAGGGAGAAATAGAATTTGCCGCTCTGCACATTCAATTTATTTAATAGAGTTATGAGATATCTTGATCACCACAAACTCAATCTCGCTAGAATCTATTTACTAATGTAAGAATCAACGATGTTGAAAGGATTAAAACCTGAAAAGTATTTGACGTGACTATCGTTAAATCTTGTTAACGCTTGATAAACTGTTAGCAATTATTCTAGATTTAAGGCAGAAATCATTAATTGGTGGGATTTACCATATTGGGGATTTAATCGGTGCTAAAGTGAGATTTAAATTGCCAAAAATTTGTTCGGCTGGCCTTAACCTAAATCCTGACGAAAAAAGTACAGTACAAACAGCCCCATATTAGGAAAGCACAGCTATCTTCCATTAAAAATCGACAAACCTAAGACCTAAATAAGCTGGAGATATCCATTCAAACGAATCACGCTTCTTAATCCACAAATAAATAACGGAAAAAGAAAGCATTAAATTAACTCGAATATGCGACTTTATCATGAAAATAGCAAGGCGAACTGAAAATTTTCGGAAACACGTCCAGATCTACATGCCACAAGCAACTATAAACCGACTTCAAAATAAAGAAAATGCGCACTTCGAATCTACAGATCCGCTCACAGATATCCAAATCGAGTAAACATCAAAAAAATCAAGCAGAGAAGAAACGGCGGAAAGAGGGACCTGGAGGGTACGCGTGGCGAATTCAACGCCGATGGTGGACTTCGACTCGAGGGAGAACTCGTTGCGAGTGAAGCGGGAGAGAAGATTGGACTTGCCCACACCTGAATCTCCGATGAGGACGATCTTGAAGAGGTAGTCGTACTCCTCCTCGCCTCTCCTCGCCATTCTGCTTCATACTGAGTCTATAGATCTCGATCTTGCTTATATAGTACCCGCAGATGCAGTCAAAGCCGACAGCCGAAGTAACCAAAGCTCGTCCTAAAATAAACAAGGGGATTTGCATGTAAATCATTTAATTCCTCCATCTTAATTTTAATATTTAATTATATTTTAATATTTAATCATTAATACAAAATTAAAAACATATATATATTAGCTTGTATGCTTATATTATGACACTAAAATAATATATAAATAAATATTAAAATTAAAATATAAGAACAATATTTAAAAAAATAAGGGGCATGTAAATACATAGCACCCAATTCTTATCGATTAAGATATTCACACCAAAACTTTCAAATTACAAGCAGCATATATTACGAAGGGTATTATCTTCTATCTTTTTATTACAATATACTTCTTTATTTATATATGAAGTACGTGACAATTGGAAAAATGATACAAAAAACTAATTAATATCTAAACTCCCGCTTAAGAGGGACAATAAATGTCTTTAATAGTCATATCGGACAATAAAGAAAATAAGGAACTAGCTGGTAATGTTTTGGTGAACATATCTACTAATTGATGTTGTGACCGAATGGGCATCAATTTTACAAACTCATCAGTAACTTTATCAGTGATGTCCAATCATGAAAAGAAGGATTAGAAGCAATATGGATGATTATCACAAAATAAATGTGTTGGAGTAAAAATAGAAATGTTAAAATATTGTTTGAGTTGATGTATCCAAACTAATTCAGTTCTAGTTATTATCATAGCTCTATACTAAGCTTTAGCAGAAGAGTTAGAAATTGTAGCTTTTATTTTTTGCTTTTGAGGATATCAATAATTCACAAAGAAAAATACAAAATGCCATTTTTGACATGAAGCTAAAGTTAACATAACTTTGACAATCACAAGTTTTGTAACTGGTGAAAAAGTATTCATGAAATCAACATCTTCTTGTTGATTGTAACATTTGGCAACCAATTGTGCTTTATAACGTTTAATTGATACATTCAAATCTATATTTTAATTTGTAAACCCATTTACGATGAATGGAATGTTTTCTAAGTGGTAAATGAACAATTCTCCATGTTTTGTTATATTCTATTACATCAACTTCAAGCTATATAGCATGTCTCCAATGCTGAAATTTTATGGCTTGATGATAGAATTTCGGTTCTACTTGAGATGAAATAGCTATTATAAAATTTTTTATGAGTTTGAGAAAAAAATCTTTAAGAAATATAATTTTCGAAGGAAATAAAACCTTTGAATTAGAAACTTGTTTTTGAGATCGTAGAAGATTACAATGGTAATCTTGTAAGTAAAATAGGGTTTTAGTGACTTGAGAGGATCTTCGAGCAAGTGGTGGTACATTATATATGGTAACTATGGAAGGTAAAGGTTTTGTAGAATTGAGAGAGGACAAGGTAGATGATGGGTAATCAACAGTTGATTGCGGTAATTCTAAATCAGGAAATAATTCTATTTCTTGATGATTACTAATATTTGAATGAAATGGAAATATGGATTCAAGAAAAATAACATCCCTTGATATGAAAATTTACTTATTTTCAATGTCATAAAGCTTATATCATTTCAAACCATGTGGACGTCCATTGAAAAGACATGTGCATGCTCTAGGATCAAATTTCTGATGATGAGCAGTTAAAGTGGATGAAAAAGCTAGAGGACCAAAAATTTTGAAAGACAAATAATTAATTTCATTTTTATATAAAATCTCATTATGTGTTGTTCTTAAGTAGTGGTGAAGGTGCTTTATTCAATAAAAAAAGTTGCAGTAAGAACACATTCATTTCAAAATTCAATTGGAACACAAAATTGGAAAAGTTAAACACAAGCAACATTCAATAAATGTTGATGTTTCGTTTCCACCTCTGAATTTTGTTATGGTGTTTATATGCATGAGTGTTGATATATTACCTATTTATTGCTGAAAGATATATCTAAATTCAGTTTTTTTTTGCATTATCAGATCTGAATCTTTTGATTTTCATGCCAAATAGTGTTTCAACCATATTGAAATGCTTTGGAATAAGAGTAGAAACATCAAACTTTTGTTTTAACATGTATTCTCATGTTAACCGAGTAAATCATCCACAATAGTTAAGACATATCAATATTCATTATGGGATATAGCATGGAAAGGTCTTCGTATATCATAATGAATCAAATCAAAAGAGGATGAACAAATATTATTTCTTTGAAATACAAGGTAATCATTTTTGTTTGGCTAAAGAACAAATACAACAAATCTCTTTGTTATGATATTTTGAGATATCACAACTCAATTATGATTTCATTGCTTGTAATACAACTGAAGAGATACGTCGAGGTCTATTATGCCAAATAAAATAAATTGTTTTATTTATAATAGCTGAAAAATTATTGTTTTGTTCAAAGATACTTCTAGTTTCGAATAATTTAATAAATCTTATGTAGTCGGAATTCTGGTATCAAGAATGTATAATTCTGTAGTTTTGTTGCCCCTATCAATCATCTTCTTGTTGCTCGAATCCTGAATTAAAAAGTAAACATAAAAGAAACTCACCATAAGAGATTAATTTCTTATTAACTCACTGATAGAAATCAGATTGAGTTGAAATTGAAGAACAAACAGAACATCTTTAAGAATTCAGAATTTGTTTAGTTTGATATCTCTAAAGAAATGAATTGAAATTGTCTCCTTGTTTGGGAAAATAACTGAGAAGTTTGTTGCAGGTTTCATAGAAATAAACAAATTTGCATTTGAGCAAATATGTTTTGAAGCATCATAATCCACAATCTAAAGATGAGTAGAACTGAAAACATAATTTAAGTAAATAGAGGAGCATATACATGTACTGTAGGAATTTGATGAAATTTCTTTTGTTTCAACTTTCTTATTATATGCCCCAAGATGAGTAGTAAGCATTGTCATGAAGTGTTGGTATTGATTGTTGTTTAAAGTCTTGATAAATCCATCAATATTTTAGTTATCTTGACTTGAGACAACCTCAAAATCATGTTGTGCAGATAATTGATGTACCTTTACAGTGGCTTATTTTTGTTTCTATTTGTATCCAATTGGATAACCATGAAATTTATAACAATTTTTAATGGTGTGTCCATGGAAATTATGAGTGCAAAAAGGTCCATCTTTCTTTTGACATTTATTGTTATTACTAGTCTGATTTTTAGAATAAATTTGCTTAGGGACAACAATGTGTAGAGTAAAAGCCATTTTATGATTCTCCAAATCAGCCCTTTGGTTTGATACTTCCTTAACTTTATCCTTGAGAAACAAGAGAGGAATTTTTTTCTTATGAGTGGATGAGGATCTCGAGGAAGAATTTGGCTTCTTGATTAAAGGATTCATTTGAACCCATTAGAAAAGTTAGTGCATAGTCAATCTGAAAGTAGCTAACCAAATTCTTGACACCTCCACAAAAGCACTTTCCACATAGGCACAAAGGTCTCAAATTGGATAATTCTTCCCATTTTGCCTTTAATTTTGTAAAATAGACATTAACAAAATGTTGATTCTGCATATAATTAAGTCATTCACAGCGTAGTTGAAACGATAAATTATTGTATACATACACCGCATGCAGAGATGCATGCGGTGTCTGATCCTGACCGTAGATCACAGTGATCTAAGATCAGAATGTATTTCAGTGGGCCCCACTTGATTTTTTTTTTCAAAAAATTTTTGAGTGCATCTTGACCGTAGATCACCGTGATCTACGGTCAGGATCGGACACCGCATGGATCTCTGCATAATAATTTTTCTAGTTGAAACAATCTTGAGCGATTACTTTGTTGGAAACGATCTTAAAGATCTTTCCAAATTTCAAACAAAATTTGTTTCCTCGTTGATACTGTACAAATTTCTGGGAAAAGATTCAAGCTAAAAAGCTAATATTTTCATGCCATTTTCCGTGCTTATTTTGGAGAGTATAATAGTTAATTAATGCTGAGCGGAATTGAAATTATGAGTTCGCAAAAACAGACGGCTAACTGGCAGCAGTGCCTTACAGAATTCCAACTGGACCTGTCTGCAGCAAATTTAAATTTGGGGCTTTTACATTCATGCCAACCAATTCAGATGTATTTACTTACTTCAATGTACATCAGCCAAAATTTTTATATTATATTAAAAATACTGTCACTTTAATTTTTAAAAAGTGAATAAATAAGATGACAAATATCATATATAGGATATGTTAAAATGGCTCGTCGTTCACAAACAGCTCGTGTTCGGCTCCTTCATTTAACCAAGAAGCTCGTGTTCGGCTCGTTCGCTAAGTTAACGAGCCGAGAATGAACAAATTGGTCGTTCTTGTTCGGCTTATTTTGGCTTGAAATACTACTAATCAATTATATATATATATATATATACATACATATATATATATATATATACATACATATATATATATTTGATGAGTAATATTTTTAAAAAACTTAATTGCTACAAGGCTATAAAGATTTATAATTAGTTATAAGTATTAATAAAGAAAATAGAATAAAAATTATTAAATTATATTCAAATGATGTTTTAATATAAACATTAATTTTTAAATCTTGCCCCAATCCATAACATTTTATGACTACCTGATTAGAGTTGTCAAAATGACTCTTTGTTCGTGAACGACTCGTGTTCGGCTCGCTAAGCAAACGAGCCGAACACGAACACACTTTTTGAGCTCGAAATATAAATGAGGGCTCCCTCGTGTTCGGCTCGTTTGTACCCCTAATCATATATATATAAATTAATATTTATATGTTCAATATGTAAATACAAAAAAATTGTGCGGTGTGTATGCAACTCTTCCTTTAAATTTTGCTCAGACCACGTGACAACTTGAAAAATGAACTGTCAAACTTGTTTTCAATATATATTTATTATAACTTTATAGCACACATAAATGACAAATAGGTAGAATATATGAAAATACTCAGATGGACCAAATCATCAAATATATTTAAACTAAGGTCAGCATTTCAACGAAACCAACAAAGGCAAGGAGGCTTA